GCACGGGCTTCCGGGGCCCGATGGCCAGCCGAGCGGCCTGCTCAAGACTGAGCGCCTAGAGGAGTTCCCGGACAGCGCTCTGGACCTGGCCTCCGCGCCCCCTCTTCCTCCTCTGCCACAGCCCCAAGGCCCCCCACCCCCCTACCACGCCCACCCACGCCTTCATCACCCAGAGCTCGTGGCCCATGCCCAGCCCCTGGCCCTGTCTCAGGCCACCATGGATGAAGACGGGGAGATGGACGACGGGGGAAAGCACTGCTGTCGTTGGATAGACTGCAGCGCCTTGTATGACCAGCAGGAGGAGCTTGTGCGGCACATCGAGAAGGTGCACATAGACCAGCGTAAAGGGGAAGACTTCACGTGCTTCTGGGCTGGCTGTCCTCGAAGGTACAAACCCTTCAACGCCCGCTATAAACTGCTGATCCACATGAGAGTCCACTCCGGGGAGAAGCCCAACAAGTGTACGGTGAGTTTCTGAAACCATTGGCCACCTTTGTTGAAGGCCCGGCCCGCTTGCCTTTTTCATGCATCTATTTTTCAAACTTGGCACACAGGTCGGGACGGGTTCTTTGTGGAGTTTTCATGTTAAGGCGTCCCTGAGATTGGACATGTCTGCGGTTTGAGGAAGGAGAAGGTTGCATTAGTGATTGTTAGTGGCTGGTTTCTCTGCATTTCTAGTTTCTCTTCTGCAAAGGCAGGAGATCCATCACAATAGGAGTAGCCAATCCGGTATGCACTTACACATGCGCACGAGCATGCATGTGCAGTGACAAATGCCTGCTGGGCACAAACTTGGAGTTGCCTTAATGTGCAGGATATGCAAGAACAGAGGGACACGCATTGCACCGCCACCATGCTTTAGCACTTTTCCAAAGCAAATACAGAGTCTTCTTTCCTTGAAATAACTGGGTAAGAACTGGGATTGGGTGAGGGGTGGTTTGGATATTTAGGAGAGGAACTCACCACTTAGCAACCTGACTAGTAAAAATGTTGCTGTGGGCACTGCTCGCCTGCACACCATACCTTCTCTGATTGGCGACTAGGTAATGATTTGTAGTCAGTGTGAAAACAGCAGAGACCAGCACAGGAGCAGAACCGCCCTGGCTCTCACCTCATTTTAAGGAGAGGGAATTTTATGGGAAGGTGTAAAGAGATAGAAGAGAATGTGTCTTTGGTCTCCAAAGGAGTGGGCCTGGTATCTCTATCTCCTTCTTTCTTTCTCAACATCAGTCCTGGAACACTATCTTTTTCTTGGAAAAATTCACTATTTTTGAATAATGTGATTCTTAAATGATTTCATAACAATTTCACACCTTACAGAAACTCCCAGTGTTTACAAGCAAGACATCACCTTTGGCATCATGGGGATGGCCTTGCTCCATCTCAGACAGCCTACTTAATGCTTGGGAAAAGAAGAACGTGTGTTTTATATTAGTGTAGATGGACGGGAATATTTATTTAGTGTTAAAATCTAAGAATTCTATATAGTCCCTAGATATTGAGAATGCTGGATCTTCTTAAATATGTGAAATATCTAAATCACTCCAAAAAGGAACTTATTTGGGCTATGAGCCCAAACTGGAGTCCCTTTTTTCTGTAGTATATCATATTCTGAAGAAGCTGGACCATGTTTATGTTTGATTGTAGATTGGCCAAGCTCTCTGGTTCATGTTAAAAAAAAAGCAAACCAAACAGCTGATATCTGTAATGCAATATTAGAAGCACTTTTTCACTGTCCAGTAGGCATTTTGTAAGGGAGTTTTAAGAATTTCTGGTGGAACAAAATTGCATTTTTTTTGGTAGTTACATTATGTTCTATATTGTGATGTTTTTCTTAAGGAAAACCTGAAACTAATACATTGTGAGAATGCCAGGTTCTATGAGTGAAAAGAATAATTACATTTCAGGAGGCAAAACCTTACTTGTCAGTGGAGTTCTTGCATTAAAAATGCCAGAAAGAGACAAGCAGTTGAAGGCAATTCCATTTACTCTCTTTGGAACACACCAGCCTATTGGAGGAAGAAAGATTCAGTCTCTGAAGGAAAACAGCCCAACCTTTCAGTTCTGACTAATCCTGGCTGAAAATAGTTTACTGGATTTGGTTTTATTGAAACAAACATAAAGGCTTGAATTACCAAAAAAATTATTTTTGGTTTGAAAAATTAATTTTTATGCAGTATGATTCCCCCATTTCCTCACTACTACCAGACTTTTCAAAGATACATAACTTCATAAAGTTGACTTTTGCAAAGGTACATAATGTGTATTAAAAATAGAGATGACTGAGTATAAGTTTGGGGTGAATGTTTGCAGACCTCTGCATAGATCTTCATTGTGTTGTTCAAGGTGGGTACAGAAAGTAATTTTTCTCTCCTAATCTGCCTACTCCCTACTTAAAGACGAAATGTTTTGCAAAAATTCAGATTGCTAATCTATAATAGCAAATCACATGTTATGGTGCAAATGTATTATTCAAAGCAGGGTTTCTTAGGAGCCAACTAATACTGTGACTCGTCTCAGGACTGTGTAATTTTAGCAGGAAGACATTCATTTTCATATAAACATTATTCTGGACCTCTGTCTTCTGAAGACCATTATATCGCTCATGTCATCTACTTGATTGGTAGGGTAATAGCCAACTGGCAGCAAATAATTGTTTTGTGAACGTTTCGTTGTTCTCTCAAGTTGTAGAGTATAGATAGAAGATGTGCTTAAAGTGGCTTCATACTTTAAAAAATGCATTTTTCTGCCTTTTGCAAAAATGAATCTTTATATTCTTGTAGTCCAGAAACAAAGAACTTTTACCACTGAAATGTTTAACTGTTTTAAAATCTGAAGGTAGCTGATTCAAAAGTAAAGTTCCCTGTGAAGTAAACTAGCCATATTCTCCTCTTAGACAAGTGATTTTTGGGGGTTTTTGTGACTGTGTTATATGCTGCAAAGAGTAGGAACAATTGACATATTAAGAACCATTTGCGTTTTATGTATATTCAACTGCTGTTAATTTCTGTGTGTGATAGGATTAGTCATCATTTCAGTCATTTGGCCTATTGATCCAAGAAAGGAACTATGACCCCTTTGTGTTTGGTACCATGACTACAAGTAGTACAAAGCACTTCTGGAAGTTACGGTAAGAGGAGGGTGTGAGCCAGGGCTATATAGCCTGCTCGCACTAAGAGGTTGTCACTGGTGTCTTTCCTTGGTGCTGAGTTTCTTTTTTGGCACGGGAGAATGCAATTTTGGAATCTCTGATCATGACTCCCCAGCCTTACCCCCAGAGTCCTGGGCTTCAGATTACTAAGGATTATAGGTGGCATAACCAGAGCTGAATTGTGTATTATTTGCTCCAGTTGCTGGAAGAAGAGGATGGATTCTTTTTCTTTTCTCTTCTTAGTGACCCTATCTTTCTGTAGGTCTCATTCATAATTCTTCTTCAGAAAGCCAAAGCAATCACTCTCTTTGTAGATGTGGCACTGTGGCCAAGGGATTCTGAGTCAGTGGCAAAAGCCTTGAGAAGTAAAGGCCTCATCAGACAGATAGGCAGGCTGGCTAAATCAGAAACCGGGATATGGCAATGTTACATTTTAAAAATACCTAGGTTTATTCATTGCAGTCTATTACCTGAAGCAATTCCTAGGTGCCAAATCATTCTATTTTAAACTTCCTGAGCTTAAACCATTCCTTAGCCTTGGTAAATCTTGAGCATTGCCAGGTATAACTATATGGAATTCTGCTTAAATTTTTCTGAGATGATAAGGTTCCAGATTCTCAAGTCAGAGCAAGTCATGAAGACTCAAAATCTGTCTTTTGCAAATCTCCATTTCATTTTCCAAAGAGGACAAAATAAAAGTGTAACCAAAAACTAGAAAAAAAAAACCACTAACCATCTCTAACAGTATCTTTAGTAATGGTTCCACAGAGTGTAAGCAAAGTGTTTGTACTGCATTTTTTTTTTTCAGCCATTAAATTGAGAGGTGTGCACTGCCTGGTAGTTTCCTATAAGGCCTGCTCTGAATGAGATCAGGTTCACTCTCAGTCCTGTGTGAAGGAAGCCTGTCTGATGAGGGCACACTGAGGATCAGAAATGATGTGGCGTCCCTTGGTGCTCAATCAAAAGTGGCTGTGCTGGGAGGTGAGGGAGTGCTAATAAGGGAATTAGGGAAATGTGGGTTGCCACTTAAATTTTGCTTGTTTTTCCTGGATGAATTTTATCCAATAGCAAAAAGAAAATTTTGAAAACTTCTACCCACCCACAGATTTTCATGAAAATGTTACCAACCAAAGACAGTTTTGAGTTTTGTATGACTTGACTCATTTCTCCACAGGCATGTTGTCTGGCAAAATCCAGAGTACTGTATTTTCCTTGGCTTCAGTGTGAGGCAGTTTGCTTTTTAAGTAACATTGAATTACAAACACAGGAAAATAAACTGAGAACTGGGGCTATGTCCCCTTTCTTCTTTTATGGCCTGATATATGGGTTCATGGGGCCAGCTTTAACCATGTAGATTTTTTAAAGGAAAACTAAACTCGTTGTAAATTGTGAAGGCTTTTTCCCCCCACTTCCTTTATTTTGTTATTTTGATAGGGCTTGGCATTGTTGTGATGGCTAGTTACATGACCAGAAGGGACCTTAGAAAAATATCATTTAACCACGATTGTTAGTTAACACTACACAGCCCTCATGTTGACAAAATGAGTAAAACCTCATAGTACCAAATATTGATAAGGGTATGGAGGAGAGGGACTATGTTTATATTGCTAGGGAGAGTGCATTGATATAAGCATTTTGGAGAAGAACTGGGGATACCTAGTTAGGCGAAAGATGAACATAACAATGAAGGTGTCTTTGCGGGAGACTGGCAATATGGTGGCAGGAATCTGAGGAAAGAGTTTGTGTTCTTTAAAAAGTATAAATTACTTACCTATTCACAAATAAGATAAATTAATAAACTTGGTTATTCTTATTGAAATAATAAAAAGGAAAGTAAAATTAATGAAATTCACAAATATATTAGCAGGGGTAAAAAGAAATATAGAAAGTATTGAATGAACACCTGATAAGTAAGAGGATTTATACATTTTAATATAACTTATATACACTTACACAGAAGTATTATATAAATGCTATAAGTAAATTGTTATGTGGTTAAAATATAAAACTGTGTGGTCAGGGTAACCAATAGCCGTAGGAGAGTAATATTTCTAGAGAGGAAAGGAAGAAGATGATGTGGGAATTTTATCTTCTTTCCAAGGAGAGAGAACAGAAAAAATATAGGAAATATTAGTTTCTTTGTAAATTGGTGATGATAATATAGATGGTTATATGTATGTGTTACAGTATTTTAGATACTTTGCTTTCTGTTTGAAATGTTTTATAACTCTGTTTTTACCTATAGAGTAAAAGAAAATCAATTAAAATAACATTACAACTCCATTTTGCACATACTGTTTCCAGATGAGAATAAA